CAGACGCTTTTCATTTTTTTTCCCTGCTTCATTATCCCCCAATTCATTCTTCACAATTATTCATCCTTCTCTAGGTAGAGAGCAAGCTAAAATTTTGGGATGATAAGAAATAAATTCAAGCAAGAGCAACAGAAGGGTCTTTCCAACTTGTTTCTTAGTTATACATCTTCAAAATGTATTCTTTTAAATCTGTTTTTTTTAAAGGGCATCTTTTAATGAATCATGAATCTTAAAACTGAGAATAAAGACAGCAAAATATAGTAGTCTGAATATTATTAAACATCCCTAACATTTCATTTAGGATGTAGGATATGAACATGACTGTAGTTTTAATGAGCAATACTAATTCTGTTGCATCTCTTTTAGCAGAAACTCCTAAGTAACTGCAAAAATTCCAAAGACATAGAGACTGAACCCACTATTGAGTATGCATCAATGCTTTTCCAATTTCTTTATTCTTATAGTATCTTGCTTGTACATTTGTTTAAAAGTGTTGGGCACTGGAGTTGCTAACCCTTTCCTTTTGCATTAAATAATGTAGCCCTACGACTCCTAAGCAGTAGGCATTCAAAAAATATTTGTTAAATTGAAAAACCAAATTATTTTGGTGCTCAGATTCCATTCCAAGGGGATCTTTGTATTAACTCTTCAGTTACTATTGGTTTAACCGTATACCAGCCACTTTTAATGTCTCTTTTTATGTTAGGTGCCATCAAGTCGGTTACGACTCCTAACGACTCTACGTACAAAAGAACGCAACACTGCCCGGTCCTGTGCCATCCTCACAATCATTGTTATCTTTAGGCTCATTGTTGCAGCCACTGTGTCAATCCATCTCATTGAGGGTCTTCCTCTTTTTCGCTGACCCTCTACTTCACCAGCCATTATGTCTTTCTCCTGGGACTGATCCCTCCTGATAACATGTCCAAAGTATGTGAGACAAAGTCTCACCATCTTCATTTCTAAGGAGCATTCTGGCTGCACTTCTTCCGAGACAGATGTTTGTTCTTCTGGTAGTCCATGGTATACTCAATATTCTTCACGAACACAGTAACTCAAAGACGTCAATTCTTCTTTGGTCTTTGGTTCTAATGCATTTAGCATCAAGGTGGGTCAGTTTTGAAATGCATGAAGCTCAGCAAACCGGATTTGGAACCTCATTGTTGTGCAGGTTGAGCATTCTATTAGGTGGTGCTTCCTGGATGTACTAGTTTTGTAAACTTTTGCTTTTTTTCCCTTTAATTCTGTGAGATAAGACTTAGCTTTCTTGTGTGATAGTTAGGGAGCCGTGATGGGTTTGTTTTGGTTTTTCTGCATCGCATTTGGAAAACTAGAGGTTCTCCATGTAACCTAATGGAAAGGTACCCGCAATAAATTCTCTATGTAGTTCTTTTTGGTATATTGTCATACCACAGATCAGTGGTGCCAGAATGCTACTTGCCTTATTGGTGGCTTGTATTACCAGATCATATTTCTTAAAATCCATATTACCAAGCAAAAAGGTAAACACACTCAATTAGTAAGCATCCATTCCAATACTGAAAACATATGCCATCAAAACTTTTTAAAAAATACAAATTTGGTAATGAAAGCGTTCTTAAGCCAAATTATTATTCTGTGTATTAGCAACTGTTCTGAGAAATCAACTCTGGTAATGTATGCTGAAGCCTTTCATGCCTCATCTAGCCAAGCCAGATGCCAAGGCAGCAGGCGTCATTGTCATCTCTTTTAATAGTTTATTTAAAAAAAAAAAAAAATCATTTGCCAAAGTATTGTCTTTTAAAAATTCTTTACATCAATCAAAATGCAGTATTAAATAAAAATGTGAAACATTTGCTAGCCATGCCGTATTTCTGTCTCCTCTCTCCTTTAACACACTGTTGTACGTTAAACAAGTATTTTAACTTCGACCAGAGGTGCAGTTTTATCAGTGGTATTCACATTTTAATGGATATTTCTAACACTAACAAACAAAAACTAATGCCATCATTTCTCCAATTCCTGTGAACATTCCCCTACGTCAAGAGGGAATGGGAGATGTGGGGATTGGCATCCAAACAAAATTCACAGCACAGAACATACATCGTCTACTTGGGTTTTTCTCCTGGGAATGGCCAAACCAGTGATTATATATCCCGGATGCATACCTCTACTGTGATAATCAACTAGGCCACATCAGATAACCCTTGTTTTAAAATTCTGGCTTGGCCTCCCCTCAGTGGAGACTTATCCTTAGCATGTCACAGAGATGTGAGGCAATTGCTTAAATTAAAACTGAAATTAACATGACATTTGCCTTGATGTACACGGCAAGCCAAAAAATGGATACTAATATTTACATAACTAGTTAATACCCTATTTTTATATCTTTCTTTACTAAAATGGTACGAAATAAACTTGTTTTGATCTACACAGTCCAATCAATTTTCAGTTGATTTTTACCTATACCTGGTCAATTTGCCCATTAGCAGAGGAGGGCAAAAGGCCAATTGTTGATAAAATTGCATTTGAAACTCTAAATTCATTAAACCTTTGAAAATTTTGTCTTGTAAAATAAATTACATCAAACCCATCAACTGTCTATCAAATACCTCATAGCACTATGCAAAGAGAAAATCTCCTTTTCTTTTCTTTTTTGACGTAACTAATACCTCAAGTAGCCCTGGAGACAAGTGTATTGGAGAAAGAAGTTTTGCAAAGAGTTTCATTGGGAGTACTTCACTGGCTTTTGGCTTTCTTGTGATTACAATCCTCAGAGCATGCTCCAGTATGGCACAAATTTGGTAGGGCCTTAAAATCTCCTCAAAACACATAAATGAATGTTTTAAGTCACAACAATCAAGCTGACAGTCATTCTTCCATGAATCTTAAATGCAGATAACGCCTAGGTTGCTAAAAAAAAAAAAAAAAATAAAGGCAAGAAAGTAGAAAAAATATTTAAACTCCCCTACCTGCTGACCAGTCTTCCACTGACATCTTTGTTGTAAAATCATCCTTTTAACCTACCAGGACATATAAAAGCTACTGGATTATGAACAGATTTAAATTACAATATAAAACTTCATCAGCTGTAAATAGATGAAGAACCTGAGGTGGTTATTCTTCCCTTCTCAGTTCCCCAGAAACGTAAATTTGCAAGCAGCATTTAAAAACCTCTCTCCTCTAACTCACTGAATAGCAGAGCCATCAGTTGTCTTTAATCCTCTTAGAAATAAACATTTCATTTTCCATATTCTTAGAAGGCCCTCTATACTGGTGTATAAATCCAGCATGTAATAGGATAGTTGGAAGCCTATTGAGGAATCTAATTTTATTTTCAAATTACTTTCATCAGGACTTAATATGTACTCTAACATCAAATGTTCTTCTAACTTCAGCTGGTTATATGTTCTACCTTCACCTTCAAACCAGTGAAGTATGTTTCACATCAGAGTCTATTAACCAAAAAAAAAAAAAAAAAAAGGCAAGCTAAATTAGAAAGCAAGCCCTAAGTCAGCAGTTCCCAAACTGTGCAATCACTCCCGGAACGGTTAAAACTGCAAATTCCTAGGCCACACCACCACGCATTCCAATTCAGTAACTGTGGGAATGGGTTCTTATATCTACTTTTTTTTTAAAAGTATCTCAACTGCATCTGGCAGAATATGCCTATAGAACACTTTGAAAACTGCCTGTGAGGGTAAAAAATAAATAAATAAATAACACTCATAATTTAGAAACTCCACCAATATGTACGGCAGTTTTTGATGAACAAAGCTATTTAGTTGAAATTTGTGTGCCTTATCAATCTTGAGAACTATACAGAGACTAAGAAACCCTGCCTTGTTTTCTAGCGTTCTAATTTCTTAGACTACCAGGGATAAATTTAAGAGTTTTAGAATTGCAACATTCAGTATCCCAAAGTTGAACCTTAAGAGTAAACAATTTCTAATTTAACCTTGTGTTTCTTGGAGGAAGTTCGAAGGAAACTGAAGGTCCTTATACACATGTCTTGAATTTAGAAGGCTATATGGTTCCTTGAGAGTCATTTATAGAAAGCAAAACAAACAACCGACAACCTGTACTAAGACCTTTTAACCTAAGAGGAGTCTCAGGACAGGAAACAAGAGATTAATCAGTAATGACAGGTAAATCATTTCCTTTACTTCCGGTGATTCTTGGCAGCAAAAGGTTATGCTTAGTGGGAAAAAATATTAGCCACAAAGTGACTAATCAAGTGACTTATTACAAATAAGAAAGCCCAATATTTGTGGAAATGGGCTTGTAGCAGCTTGCTACGTATTTTCCCCCAAAAGACAATCCCAAGCACGTTGACTTATTGCCATATTGCATCCTTTCCCCAGAGTTAAATTTAACAATTTTCTGGCTAATTTCATTAAATAAGATAGAACCTTAAATTGGCCTAGCTGGGCCTGAATTATTAGGCAAATATATGATGAACTTTCATGCTACCAATACTTGAATCAAAACAAAAGTCGTATTACTTTTAATGCCTTTTCTAAAATAAGGTACTTGGTATCATGATATTGAACCTAAGAATCTAAAACCAAAGAGACTGGAAAAAACAGAGCCAAGATTAGCTACATCAAGAAAATAGTTTTGCCTCAATTATAAGAATCAATCTGTGCACACGAGATGCCTAACACAAAGACTGATACAGACGACGTTCAATTGTTGTTCACCTAATTCATTTCTCTGGTCTTGAATTATCCTCATGACATTTATTCTTAATACTGTATATAAAGTCTAATTGCTATCCTTTTAGGGAAGTCTCCTGAATAAACCAGGTTAAGGTTTTTTTCTTTAAACCTGGAAAACAAAGGTACATTAGCAAATCTGCAAAAACAAAGGTAAGAACAGAAATGATAGAAAAAAATTCATGGCAAAATAAGCTCTCATGCGATTACCACAGATAAGTGAGTCAAATGTCCAGTTATTGATTATTTGATTGCTAGAATTATCTCAAAAAAAAAAAAAAAACCACCCAATCTCCACTTCACTTTAAGATAAAAATAATCATACAGATAAGTGAAACTACTTCATTAAAAGGCTAGCCTTAACATAGAATTGTTTTCTTTTTCACTTCAGAGAGAAAAGGTAAAATAAGACAAAACGGCTCAGCTTAATTTCAAACGTTAATATATTTTCTATTTTATATTGAACATATGCATCTGTAACCCCTCATTTGCAGCAACTATCACATCCTCATAAAAGGGGCAAAATTTGTAAGATGCCTTTTAAAATAAATATTCTTTTTTATAAAATAATAAAACTTCAAATAAATATTCTTTACACTAAACAATATGTTGAAAAAATTAGAAAATAAAGGTTGAATTTTACTGTAACTGTACAATATACATGAAGTCCAAAGGGAAATCAGAGTCTTACAATAAAGGCTTTCTGTAAGGCAAAATACAATCTAAAAACATACTGATTGATTCACATTCTTCCGAATGTACAACATATTAGTATAATATTTTGTGACTGTGCCACGTAGTATGGCACAACTTGTTTTTCACAGTTGCAAATATTATTGTATATACAAAAATATAGCACATTATCTCTGAAGAAAACGATGGAAAAAAAGTCATTTGCTAATTTACAAATTTTGCAAGTACTATTCACAAAAACTTTGCCTAGGAGTGTCTGTGTTGCTTTAGCTTATGCAATATGTGGGTCACACCAAGTTCTGTATCCCATATTTTGAGCTCTATTAGCCGAGTTCTAACAAGCGTATCAGTTAAAATGGCACATGGACAAAAAAGCATTTCACTGCAAACGGCAAAGAATATCCCAACCCTCTATTAACAGTGCCAAGATTATAACTGTTTAGTTGGTTGCATATGTGTATTAAAAAAGAAAAAAGGAACAATCCTTATTACTGTAGTATTCCTGATTAATGATGCTATGTAGGTTTTTCAAAGTTCCTGGGTGGGACAGTGGGAACTTTGCAGCAAACTGTGTTTGAGTTTTTACAACGGCATCCAGGCCTGTTAACACGGTCATAACACCCCTGGCACAATTTAAGGCAACCCTTGGCTGGAAGGTAACACCATAAGCAAGGCAAAAAGAGAGACATGACGCCCATGGCTGACCATCGTGTACAACAGTGAGACTGGCTGCAAGAACATGGGTTGTCAGCACAGTTGTCCTCGTCATCATTAGAACAGTGATAGAAGAGACCTTTCACACAGCACACACAAGTCCCATAGTCAATCACGTTCTGGGCCGAGCAAAGGCACTGCTTGTCGCAGATCCAGTCTGACGGCAGGGGCCTCGGGTAGGTGCACTCCTTACACTTGCACTTACCGCAGTCCTCACACCTGTAGGCATGCAAGCCCAAATCTTCCTTGCTCAGCGGCTTAAGCTCACCCGGCTTGAGCTCTGATTTAGGCTGCACCCGGATTATTCCATCGGCAATAGGCCCCAAGGAAAAAGATGATCCTAACAGTCTCTGTTCAGAGGAATTGCTGCTGGTACTTGTCCTCATACTGCTCCGTGACCCTGAGCTGACTGTGCTGATGGACCTGGTCAGAGGGGCTCTTGCAGAAGACTGGAGCTGCGTGTGCTGGAGCCTGGGAGGCTGGCGGTGCTCGGGCAGACCATGGAGTCGCTCGTGTTTGTGCTGAGCGGAAGGGCGAGGAGCAGGCTTGAGCCCCGGTCTCGGGACCACGGTAGGCCCCTCCGTGTACTCATTGGTGTTTCGGAGGGCTCTGATCTGATCCAGGGACAACACGCGTACCTGCTGGGTGAGAGCATCTCTGGGGTCAGGCTCCCCGCGCTGCCTGCCACCGTCACGGGGTGCCTGTAGCAAGGGCTGTGACCCGCTGCCACTCTGAGCTCTGGCCTCCATCAGGTCTTGGAAGTGTGGTCACTCCAGCAGGCTTAGAACACATCTGAACTCCTGCGGAAACCAAAAGGAAAGAGAACGTTTTACACTCCAAGATGCTTTCATTCCACTCTCCCCCGACCTGAGCTGACTTTTCACTTTCCACTTCCCCTAGAGACACAGGATTTGAAATGGAGTGGGGGCAGGGAGGTATCAGAATAGCCACATGATCAATGCATGCACCAAAGTATAAAAATTATTGCTGGTTACTGACAATTCTTTAATCCTGTGATGTGCAGCTACCCAAAGCTGATCTCTATTTCAGTCACATATATAAAAAACCAAAACTAAATCCATGGCTGTCGAGTTGATTCCGACTCATAGCAATCTTATAGCATAACCTCTTGCTGCCAAGAATCACCAGTAGAAATGCCCCATAGGGCTTCCAAGGCTGTAACCTTTACAGAAGCAGATTGCCACATCTTTCTCCCACGAACGGCAGGTGGGTTCGAATTGCTGACCTTTCGGTTAGCAGCCGAGCGCTTTAACCACTGTGCCACCAGGGCTCCACAACCACATAAATAGAAACCGCTTATTCAAATAAACATAAAATTTGCAAGGTTCAGGTTCAATGGAAAAACTGTCAGAAAGTAATGTTGGAATTTCAGCACAACCCTGACATCAAAATTTTCAAACACGAATGGAATACATTTTCAAAATTGGAAATAGATTGAAATTGGTCACGGTCATTTTTGTCTTAAATGTCAATAAATGCAGTCTTGAAAATTCCTTCGTGGTTCTTACTCCAAGTCTGCTTTTACGTCAAATACTATGATTTATACAGTATTCTACAACCTTTTAAGTCCCGTAGACTGAGTATGACACACAAAAAAAGTATTTTTTCTCCAAGGAATAATTATAAAGTTTACAAGTATGCCATTATCTATAACTACATACAGGCACAAAGGTATGGAATTAAAAATAAATCAGTTCGAATAGCATTAGGTGTCAGGAACACATTAAATCAAACTTACACAACAAGCAACAAGACAGGAACTTATTCTCAACTTCCCAACAACTTGAGAATCAAATATCTTACACCCTGATAGCCTAAGAAAAATACCTTAGATTCTGCAGTTCAACGGTTGCCCTGCTCCCTGTTGTATATATGAATTATGTCAAAATCTTAACCGATTTGCCTGTTTCCCAAAAAACTTACAGTTGAGAACATAAATCAACTGGCAGTAACAGAAAAAAAAAGTGGTTTAAAAAAATTCAAGTGTCACATCTCAAATTTAGCACTCTGACAAATAACCCTCTTAAATTATAATCCTTCTGTAAGTTTCCAAACTATCATCCCTTTCCAAGATTTCATTAAAATAAAAAGGAAAATGGGCAAAAGTGGAACCTAATCCAACCTCTGCTTTTCGGAAAACTGAGAGCCACAGCGAACAAGGCAGGTGACACACGCCTCCCAATTCGGAACAAGGCAGAGCTGGAAACCGGATCTCCTCCTCACCTCCAGCAGAAAGACAAGACAACGTTGCTCTTTGCTTTCATTCCATTTATCGGTTCTATCTGCGCCCCAACGCCGTCCCCAGCAGGTGGGACCCAGCCGGAACCTCGAGGGAGTTTTCTCCCGGCGGACTGACGCCCCCCAGGGGCCAGCCCAACCCCTCCCCACCGTGCACGATCCCGAGACCGACAGAAGGGCGGGGGGCGCGGGCGCCTCCAAAAGGAACGTGTCACGAAACGCAGGAGCATGCTTCCCCCGCTGCCGCCCCCATTACCCCAACTCAGAACCGCCTTCCAGCCCCAAGAGGGAGCCACTCCACTCCCAGGCTGGGGTCACACAGCCCACCGCACGGCGTTTCTGCAAAGGCCCTTCAGCGTCGGACACAAGTTTCCAGCACCGACGCGGCAAGTAAGAAAGCCCTGCCTTAGTCACACAGCCCTGACACCCAGACTTAACCTCGCGCGACTCCACGCTGCAATGACCCAAGTGGACACTGTCTGCAATTTGCACGCGCTTATCTCCTTTTGGGTGCACACAAATTAAACACACACACACACACACACACACACACACACACACACACACACACATTTCTTAAAGTGAAAGAGAAAAATTATTTGAAGAGAGGGCGCTTTCCAAGGCGCCACTGCACCCGCCGGACGCGCAGGACTTAGATCCCTGAGCTGCAAACTTTCAGCGCAGATATGCTTGTCGTGGAAAGCGGCATCTTAGAAGAAAGCAAATAGTTTTTTTTAAAAAGGGATTTCTGTCGATCCTTGGCCTCCCTCTTCCCAGTCTTCCCCGCCCCGCCCCCGCCAGTCAGCGCGTTTCCAGCCTCCCCTCCCCAAAGGGCTTTGAAACCCCCATTAATAATAGTGTGTGATCAGACCATGGATTAGGGGGAAAGGACTTCGGCACTAGGGTGGGGCAAACCCACACAGAAACCGCTTTGTAAAAACACACAAGATACCGAAATTTAAAAATAGCAACAACAACAAAAGTAGATCAGCCCATCAAAGGAAATGTAAAAATAGCCTCTTTTACCACCCATTTTCAGATAATGGAAAATGATCACTACCACTTGATGACTTTCTTCCTGTGCTGGGTCAGCCAAAGCTTCCAAAAATAAAAAAAAGCATGACCCAGGCCGACCACGGAGAACGGAAAAAAGAGAAAGCTGCACTTTCAAACCGCAGAGACACGGCGCCGGGCAGGGAGACGCTCCCACCCGCACAGGGCTCGCCTCCGTCCACACCAGGCAGAGGCGGGGGCTCCCTCCACCCGCGCACCCTGGGCCCGTCGGCGCCCCCGCCTAGGGACAGCCTCGCCTAGGACTTGCCTTCCCAGGAGAGTAACAGGTTACAAATCCGGCGCCTGCAAAGGCGACCTGGAAAACACAAAATGTTTGCCCTCTCCCCGCTCTCAGCGCCCAATTCGCTGCCCTCGCAGGGCCAGGAGTTGACTCCAGGCGACCCGATCGTCGTCCCACCCTCCCCCACCCTCGAGAACGGGTGCGCGGGGTCGCCGGGCTAGGGAGGATGCGGGGACACTGCGCGGGGTGTGCACGGCAGTCCCAGCCGAGGCAGGCCAAGCCCGAACATGGGACGAGGCAGACCCGCAGACAGCTACCCCAGATCCCCGCGGGGAACCTGCGGGGTTATAGAAAGGGAGGCCCGGGGAGAAATGGACCCCACTCTCAGTCCAGCTGCACCTACTCCATGTTGCCCGCGACACGCCGGCCACGGCGCCAGGAGGGGAAGAGCCAAACGCGCCTCACCGTGATCGCGGCTTTGCACCAACTCCTCTCCCTTGGATTCTCTTCTTCCTGCGATGTGCAAATAAATCCAGCCTCGACGCAAACTTTTTATTCTTTCCAAACTCTGTTTCAGTCCAACTTCCGAGCAATAGGCGGATAAACGTAAAGAAAATCCGGAGCCAAGTCCCCAGCCGATGAACACTCCGGTGTTCGGGGCCAGAGGCGACCTCCCTTTTAAAAGCGCACGCGGAGTATCTCCTCTTTTTCTCAATGAACAGGAGGCCAAAGCGCCAATGGCGAGTCTTTTTTCCTGGCAAATGAGCGATTGAGATTAAAAAACGGCCTTACAGAGAACCTAAAGCCAGAGCGCCAAGTCGTGCGGTCTCAGCTGTGCCGGAGTGGAGGCGACGCGGGGGCGCGGGCTGGGCTGGGCTGGGCTGGGCCGGGCGGGC